CTATACTCTCTCTTAAGCCTGTAGTGAAAGTGACCCTTCCTTACCCCACCAGAACATGCCCGGGTGACTTCCTCCCAGATCGTCCTTGTGGCCTTCCTCGCCCTCCGCAGTGACACTATGCAACCCCCACGAGACCTGCGAGGCCTCTGGCTCCTGCTGCTGTCCCTGTTCCTGCTCCTCTTTGAGGTGGCCAGAGCCGGCCGGCCGGTGGTGAGCTGTCCTGCCGCCTGCCTGTGCGCCAGCAACATCCTCAGCTGCTCCAAGCAGCAGCTGCCCAACGTACCCCACTCCCTGCCCAGCTACACCGCCCACCTGGACCTCAGCCACAACAACCTGAGCCGCCTGCGGGCCGAGTGGACCCCCACGCGCCTGACCCACCTGCACTCCCTGCTGCTGAGCCACAACCACCTGAATTTCATCTCCTCTGAGGCCTTTTCCCCGGTTCCCAACCTGCGCTACCTGGACCTCTCCTCCAACCAGCTGAGGACGCTGGATGAGTTCCTGTTCAGCGAACTGCAGGTCCTGGAGGTGCTTCTGCTCTACAATAACCACATTATGGCAGTGGACCGCTGCGCTTTCGACGACATGACCCAGCTGCAGAAACTCTACTTGAGTCAGAACCAGATCTCCCGCTTCCCTCTGGAACTGGTCAAGGAAGGAGCCAAGCTCCCCAAACTAACGCTCCTGGACCTTTCCTCCAACAAGCTGAAGAACTTACCATTGCCTGACCTGCAGAAGCTGCCCGCCTGGATCAAGAATGGGCTGTACCTACACAACAACCCCCTGCACTGCGACTGTGAGCTCTACCAGCTCTTTTCCCACTGGCAGTACCGGCAGCTGAGCTCCGTGATGGACTTTCAGGAGGACCTGTACTGCATGAGCTCCAAGAAACTGCACAATGTCTTCAACCTGAGTTTCCTCAATTGCAGCGAGTACAAGGAGCGTGCCTGGGAGGCCCACCTGGGTGACTCCTTGACCATCAAGTGTGACACCAAGCAGCAGGGGATGACCAAGGTGTGGGTGACACCCAGCAATGAACGGGTGCTGGATGAGGTGGCCAACAGCACGGTGACCGTGTCCAAGGATGGCAGTCTTCATTTCCATCGGGTGCAGATCGACCATGGGGGTGTGTATACCTGCTATGCCATGGGGGAGGCTTTCAATGAGACCCTGTCTGTGGAGTTGAAAGTGTACAATTTCACCTTGCATGGACACCATGACACCCTCAACACAGCCTATACCACCCTTGTGGGCTGTATCCTCAGTGTGGTCCTGGTCCTCATATACCTGTACCTCACCCCGTGCCGCTGCTGGTGCCGGGGTGTCGAGAAACCTTCCAGCCATCAGGCAGACAGCCTCAGTTCTTCCATGCTTAGTACCACACCCAACCACGACCCTATGGCTGGCGGGGACAAGGATGACGGTTTTGACCGGCGGGTGGCCTTCCTGGAACCTGCTGGACCTGCGCAGGGTCAAAATGGCAAGCTCAAGCCGGGCAACACCCTGCCAGTGCCTGAGGCGACAGGCAAGGGCCAGCGGAGGATGTCGGATCCAGAATCGGTCAGCTCGGTCTTCTCTGATACGCCCATTGTGGTGTGAGCAGAATGGGTTGGTGGGGAGATTCTGCCCCAGGAGAGGTAATGCACCCTTGAAGGATGTGAGGGGATGGAAGAGAGGGCTAGCTGCCCAAGGGAGTGGGTTCCCCTCGAACTCAAGGGAATTGGCCACGGGTACAACAGCAGGCAAGACCCCAAGCAGGGTGTGGCTGCCATGATTTTCAAATGTGGATATACTAATCCTCAGGCAAATATGACACCCCTTCCCAGAGCCCTGACAGTTCTCAAGGTGGTGGAAGAAGAGGGTGTCTGCTGGTGGGAATGAGGTAAGGGGTGAAAGAGCAGATCCCCTAAACTTTTTGAGGTCACCCCTAGCTTCTTCAGAGAAAATCATTCGGGAAAAAGAGTCACTTTTTTCCTTTCTCTGCCCACCCACACCTGTGATGTTGTGTGTACTGGAAGGAGCTTCCACAGGAGCCACATTGGGGAAGAGCTAGATTGTCTTCCTTGGCCAGGAAGTCACGCGTCACAGCTGGGGAAATAGGAAAACTTTGGGAAAAGAAGTCAGGAAAAGGCTGGGACCTCAATAACATTCCCCAAAGCTGTTGTAAGACTTCCCAGGAACACCTTCCTCTTTCCAGAGGAGCCCTGGGTACATGGGTCTTTTGTAGGAGCTTGGCCTGTTGCCTGTCAGATATGGCAACAGTATGAGACGTGGTATCTGTGTCTTGTCCTGGGACCAGTGGCACAGAGGGGTACAGCATGAACCAAGGGGTCCCTGTGACAGTATAGATGCCAGCACAAAACCTGTAGATGGGGGATAAACTCCAGATTGGAACCGGTTGGTGAAACTCTTGGTTAGCATCTGATTCCCAGCACCCATGTAGCGGATCAAGGTATGGGGTGCTGGAAGCAGAGTGTCTGTGGATGCCTGCCACAGAGGTGGGATGAGGGCCTCTTTGCACGAGGAGGTGGAGGGTAAACCAGCCACTGTTACGTAGCATCCAGCATCTAGCAGGATCTACCTGATTTTCTGTGTATGCCATCTCTTCATTCATTCTCCTGATAGGCTCAGGTAGAATTCTGAGTGTTCCCTAATATGCTGCTCTGCAAAAGAAGGAGTCCAAGAAGTCTGGCCCCAGCTGGGTTAGCTTGGGCTCAGGGATGGAGGGGAACAGGCAGACATCTCCGTTGTGCTGACAAAGCCGCCTTGCTCCTCTCTTAGAGATCTCACCCCTGCTGCAGAGCTGGAGCATGGGATTCATCATCTGCGGAGCTGGAATCAAGTGGTCCCTGCCACAGAGGAATGGTGGTTTGGAGGGTGGCTTAGAGTTCTGCCCTCTCCGCAAGGTTCCAGGCAGTCTTGTAACAGAGACAGTCAGTGGCACTAAACTTTCAGAAGGAGACCCTCTCAGCCAGAGGTGTGCACAGTTGTCAGGCCAGAGGAACTTAAGAACAAGCCCAACATTCCATTCCATCAAAGTGACAGAATACTTTGGGCATAGAGGTGGCCACTTCCTTTGACTCTACTGCAGGCCCCGGGGGTTGGTGGCTCTGAGCTTTGGCAAGGGGACTTGAAGGGCAAAGGTGAAAATGTTCTCTGACGTTGGTCTTCAGTCTGTCCCCTCTCTCTCACCAAGTCCCCGTCCTTGGAAGTTCTCCAGCTCTTCCAGTTTTCCGATCTGCTGTTTAGGTTCCAAGAAGTGTCATTTACCTGTGGGTGAAGGCTGCTTGCTAGGAGGTCCTAACTCCCCTGCCTGTTAAGATCCAAGGTGGGGACTGGAACTCAACATCTTCCCTTTGTCTGTTCCTGGGATGTCAAGACTGCTGTCCATCCTTTACTAGTAACCTAGCTTTGTTGAGAGAGGTGCAGCGTTTCCCTCAAGTACTTGCATGCTCATAGGGATGCATGCTTATAGGTCTGCATGCACCCCAGCACCTTGACTTCCATCAAGACAATTCTTCAGTCCCCACTAATGCCCACTTCCAGAGTGGTTTCTACTTATGTGCACAACTTCATGCACACAATTTTCTTGCCCTGTAGGAGAGACTGTGACCATGCCAGGCTCTGCAGATACAAACTTTTGTACTTTTGATTTCTGAACTGCCTAAATCTTCACCCACATCTCTGTGGCAGTCCATAAAGCCCAGAGTTAGGAAAGCTTCAGGTTGAAGACCTGGAGAGAAGCGTTGATGAGGAGCAAGCTGGCTCTTCAGACTCCTCAGAAACCTTCCTTAGAGTAATGGTATCTCAGAAATAAATGGAAAACTAGGTCAGTGACAGATCCAGAACACTGGCAGGGGACCAAGCAGCTGTAAGTTGTTCTTCCTATGTTAACTGCCCTAGTAAGCTAGGGGCAGGAGGGAAAAGTTGTGTGGTCATATTCCAGAGACTTCTAAAGATTCTGACACTGAAGTTATAGGAACCAGGACCCCCTCCTCAGACTTATCAGAGAAAATCTCACCTCCTGGCAGCAGCTTCCCCTCTAGGCATCATCGAGGGCTCTGAAAATCTTTTAAGTGGATGTCAGATGAAGTAGGTCCTCTGGACATCCTGAGTTCCCAAGGACTAGGAAGGCCATTTTCTTCCTAAGTCCTACCAGTTTAGGGCATGAGGCTCTTAGTCTTCCCCACCAAGAGACTGAACTGATTGGCCTTTTCCCATGGTTTCAGTGACTAGAACCCAAAGGTTGCTTTCTACTTGAGGGATTAGGGACTCAGCAGATGTAAGCTCACTGGAACCCTGTGAAGGAAACTGCCAGGTCTGGTTATAAGAAAAGGTCAAGCGATCACCCCCACCCCCATCAGTCAACCAGACATGTCTCCCAGGAAGCAGGTGTCCCTGGAGACAGAGTGTGTCAGGGCTGTACAATCTGTCTGTGTGATTGTTTTTGATCTTTCTTTCTTTCCGTGTATTTATGAGGCTCCTAGGAAGGAGCCAGGAGTGGGGAGACCCCAGCTGGGGAGAGTGAAGACGACTGATTCCAGTTTTCCGTGTGTCCTTACCTCTGTACCTCCTTGTAGCCCTGCTGGCGAAGTGAGCAGGCCTCCCCATGTCCAGGATCCTAGTCCTTCCACTTGTGTGCTCCCAGGCTGGCAAACCTTGGAGCCTCTGGGCTCTGAAAACTAGACAATGATCATTAAAACCTGGCTTGAGTCTCTTTCCTGGCGTAGTCTGTGACTGGTTTCTCTTTTCAGCCTGTGGGGAGGGTTCACAGTACCTCGGAAGGGTGCAACCTGTCTAGGGAGAGGATAGTTAAATGCTGTTACGAGGGCATGGGTAGAGTCCACGTCGAGGCATGAAGATAGACCAGGGGTCAGCCAGCCTTTTCTGTGAGGAGCCAGACGTGAAACATGTTAGACTTTGCAGCCCGTATAGTCTCTGTTACAGCTCCTCAGTGGTGCCATTGTGGCAGGAAGGTATAGAAAGTGCACAAACAGTGGCTCTGTTCCAGTCAACTTTATTTATGGACATTGAAATGTGATTTTCATATCATTGTAACATGTATTTGAGGGTTTTTTTCCACCATATATAAATGCAAAAACTCTTACAGGCTCACAGACCACAAAAAAAAACAGGCAGCAAGTTGGTTTTGGCCAGCAGACAAATTTGCCAACCCAATGTTCTCAAAAGAAATGTCATTGACACTTTAGCAGGAGAGAGTCTAGAAATTCCATGACTTGGGGCTAGAGACTGTAGCTAATGAAGGCTTTCTGGATCCCTGGGGAGGAGGGTTGTCTCCCTCAAGAGCCCTCTTGAAAGTCTGGATCAAGCCTACAAACTACCGTGGAAAATGTTTGAATTGGGTTAAAAGAAATGATGGTGAGCAGCTTGGGTCCACAGTATTTTGATTATTACCAATATATGTTCATGTTATGAGTGGTAACCATCTTAGTTTGGCTTAAAGTATATTAGTCTAATGGGCAGGTGAATATTCATTGACAGTGTAATGTGTCCTAGCATTGCATTGAACAGAGAAATGCAGTCCCCGCTTTTTTGTTACAGGAGACAGCCTATCATAAATTGGCCCAGATTCTACTGATCTCTGAATAGGCAGTTTCTTTGGCTATTCTCTTGGTACTTCTGGAAGGGTATTGTCATGGTAGATTCCCAAAAGGGAGGGGAAGTGGTATAACAAAAAAAGAAATGAAAAGAATCAAAATTTGGGGAATTCCCTGGTGGTCCAGTGGTTAGGACTTGGCATTTTCACTGCCCAGGGCCTGCCTGGGTTCAGTCCCTGGGTGGGAAACTAACATCCCTCAAGCCATGCAGTACGGCTGAAAAAAATAAAGAATCAGAATTTGAATAATTACCTCCTTTATTACACTGATAAAATCTTGACTGAAGGGCGGTCCTCTTCTGTCTGGAAAGTTGTCTTTTTCTTTTCATGAGGGAACAACTAAAGAGTGAGGGATGGAGACACCTCACAGCCAGTCACATCAGACATATCAACCTTGGCAGTCAATGAAATGACAGATGTTGATGCCAGGGCGCCCCCAGAATCTACATATATTTGGTATTTTTTAATCTTTTCAAAGCAGTTTTTGCTATGGCTGAGTTTAGCCCAGAGGACGAGCTGGTAAAGAGAACAGGTCTGGGGAAGAAGCCTACTGAAAATCCTCCCCTCTGTTTTGGCCTGTGCCAAGCCCTGTCTCTGCACCTAGGAAGTTTTGATACTCCTTTCTCTGTCATCCCAAGGCTACATCTCTTCAACCCTCCCCATCCCCCTAAGAAGTTCCATAAATTCTGGCCAAGATGTGCCATTTGGTCTGCCGTGTCTTGCGGCTCGTTCCCTAGCTCCTCTTAGGTGGCACTGCCGGAGAACAGACAAGGTTAATACGATGGTTATCTTTTAGAACAGAAAATGAGAGTTCAGTGGATTGGCCAGCCTGGTCTCTCTTCCATCTGATCTCTCAACTCCTTCCCTTTCTGCAGTTGTAACTCTTGGACCCCCTTATGTTGTCTCTGAAGCAACCACTGGAGAAGCTTCATTTGCCCCACCCACACTGCCGAAAAGACTCAAGCCCATTCAGGGGTACGGTCAGCTTGTTTGATCTGGCTACAGGGAGCCTACGCTGGATGCTTCCTCTCCCCGGGGTTGAGAGAGGAAAGCTAAAAGCAGCTGCCACATCAGGCCCCATCATCAGGCATATAGCCTGTTGTGTGGAAAACATCAAGTGGTACAGATACTTAGACTTGCCCTGAGGCCTTCCAGTTGACATCAGCCTGGTTATAGTCCCAGAATCACAGCGGGTGTGGAGAGAACCAACCTTTCGGACATAGGACCCTGCAAGGACTTCTAGGTGCCCTACAGCACTAGCATACAGAAAGGAAGAGTCGTTGACCCCAGAGTTGGAGGCTTGTATGCATATGTGTTTGCAAATACACACAGGTTAGGGAGCACTGCAGCTGGATAGAACTTCATGCCGCTTTCCCTTCACTTCCCACTGCTCCTTCCCTTGGCCGTACCTTGCTTTAGGTGTAGACCTCAGCAGAAAGGTCTAGCCCAGTCCTGGGAATCCTTAGAAAGCACTGGGAGATAACGGGGAATCTGCCTGAAAGACAAGGGTGCTGGGGGGCCTCATGAATACTCAGTGAGACAGAGTTGAATCCTCTGATACCAGAGGATAGAATCACCTGAAGTAGCTACTTAAAATGCTTTCAAAAGAGGTTTTACAAAATCTAGGAAATTCTGATGAAGCAGGTAGAATTAAAACTGGGACTTATTCCCTGCACACTGGTGAGTTAGTCAAGGCTTCTGGGTGAGTGGGTGGGTAGGGAGAAGGTTGTCTTACTGGAGGGAATCTGCCTGCTTTAAGCTGAGGTGGAGACCATCTATGTTAAATCACCCTCCGGAGCAGTTCTGGGGCCCTGTCCTGCCTTTCAGCTGTGTCTTCCCTGTGTCTACACTGGTGACAGTTGTTGAGGCTATGACCACAATGCCTGATCAGTGTTTCATTCCTGGATCCCAGGATGGGGGGTGGGGGGTGCGGAACACCCAAGATTAAAAAATACTGAGGCCTCTGTGCTACTATGGTGCCTGCCTCTCTGTGTCCACTTGAGGAAGACTGCTGACTGTTCTCAGACCAATGGAATGGAAAGTATCCTCAAGTTAAACAAAACTGCCTTCATGGTGCATGTGCATGTGTGTGTTAATTTCAGTGATGTCCTTTGAGGAGGAAAGGACGGTGATCCTCCTCCGAGAGTCTGAAACAAGGAAGGAGAAACAAAGCTGTGAACAAGCCAGGGGCTGTGCCTCACAGCTTCCCACCTCCGCCCTGGGTGAGGGCCTGAGGCAGCCTGTGGGGACAGGGGCAGCCAGAGAGTTGGCGTGGCAGTGTGGGTCCACTGCTGCTCTTCCCTTCCTAGCCCGTCCGCTCCACCTTTCCCTCCGAAGAGCAGGATTAGCCAGGAGAAACTTAGATAGACTTGCAACCAGGAGCTCCAGGCTGGACCTGGGGCATAACTGAACTGACTCCAGATCTGCAATCAGCCCCATGACTTGAACACATCAGCTGGCAGCAACTTAGGACAAGCTTCACTAGAGTCATAGCCTCCATAGCACTCCTGACGTTGCATCTAGGAGGAAATGTCTGTGTTCTCTGACGGTGGCCAGCAATACAACCTCTCTGAGACTTGGATCCCCTAAGCATCATTATCCATAACTATTTATTGCCTCCCTAAAAGAAGCATAAAACCCAGAGCCAGGAATGAGTAAGAGATAAGGACAGGAACATAATAAGCCACCTGTTGGCATGTGTTTACTACTTTGAACATCCCAATGCCTGTTAACATGCATTCTGTCATCTGGTGCTCACAACATCCCTGTGAGATAGGTCATGCAGTAAGTGATTTGCCTGTGGCCACACCAGTGTCAGGGGCTGGGTAAACCCAGACTGCAAGTTTCCTAGCTCCCGGATCGATGTGCTTTTCACTTCATGATACATAGGCTCTTTATGCCAACCAGATGCAGGGGCAGCAGGAGCACTAAACCAGGAGCCTCCCTGCTCCCTAAGCCTGCAGAGAGTCATCAGAAATGCTGGGGGAGTCAGGGGTATCCCCTGGAGGCCAAGACAGGTCAACAGAAGGCTAGGCAGGAGTACTAGAGATTCAAGGTCAACAACCACCAATGCCACTACCGGTGTCAACGAAGCATACACTGTGTCCTTTTGTCAGGTGAAAAGACCTGATTGGTTTACTCAGAGGATGCTCAGGGATGCTTCCAAGAGGAAAGAAGGCTCAAAGCATGGCTGGGAGGTAAGACTCCTGACCCCTCCTCCCTCTGCAGCCCAGGAAGAGGGGGAAGGTGAGGGCTGGCTGACTCAGTCTGCAAGTGCTTGGAGATCTGGAGCTGAAAGGCCCCAGCCCTGTTCAGTTAATGATTATCATTAACTCTGAGCAGACCTTGGCACAGCAGCCAGCTGGCTCTGGGAGAATGCCTGGATCTCCGACAGTGAGGTTTTAAAAACAAGACCCATGGCAGCCATGCCTGGTGTGATGGGGGAGGAGGGGAGGACAGGCTAGTGTCAGGGAGTGGGGAGGGGTGGGGGTGCCCTGTGAGAGGGTGGGGCTAGGAGGCGGCACAGCCTGGCAAGAGATACCTTTAATGCAGCTGAAAAGCCCAGGTGAGGCTGGGAGACTTCCCCACACAGAGCTCCTGCCATTCAACACCACCCCCAGTGGGGGGTGGGGGGTGGGGGAGTGGAGCTTGGAGGGGAAAGGGTGGGCAAGGGAAAGATGGGGGCTTGGGTGTGGTATCTGAATCCAGAATGGTAATCCTATTACCATCTGGATGTGGATACAAAAACCATCTATATTTCTAATGTCCTCAAGGTTGAGTTTGAATGTAATCATATTTGGAATCAGGACTTAGTGAGCCTGATATGCAAATTTTTGCAAATGACACGGAAATTTAAAAAAGTCTCGAGCACCCTGGCTTTTATTTTTAAAGGCAAAAGAGGCCGGCTACTAGCAGCTTTGCTCAGTCAGACAAGGGCAAAAGGGCAGCCATTCGTTTCTCCTTCAAGGCCTCTGCCTCATTTCTGAGGAGCCCAGATAATACCCCAGATGGAGAGACACTGGATGGTGCGGGGGGACAGAGGGTGCAGGGGGAGGAAACACAAGCAGGAGGCATATGCAGCCACCAGCCACCGAGATCCCAGCTGGAGGAAGAGTGCCTTGGCACTGAGGTCTAATGGCTGTCCAGCTGCTGCCCTAAGATGGGGGGGCAGGTGGTGATCGAAGGAGCAAGGAGGGGAGGGGAGGGAAGTCCCTCCACAATCCGGCCAGCTGGGAAGAAGGGCTCCTCCTGTGACCTCCTCCCAATGCTGCAAGCAGAGACCACCTGTGCCCCCTTCTCTACCCTGTGCCCCTGCCCACCCCCACCCGGGGCCTACCGGTCAGAGAAGTGACAGCTGGGGCCCCTTCCTCCTGCAGCATATAAATGACTTCCCCCTTCCTCCCAGGGCTGGGAATAGACATCAGCTGGCACTGCCCACGCAAACTGCCGGCTGTCAGCCCGCCTGCCCGCCCACCATCCCCCGCACCACCTGGGAGGAGGCAACACCTCAGGCAGGCTCAGGCTCTCTGGTGTTGCCTGCTTGGCTCCCCAAGCAAGCTCACCCATCCTTCCTACCCTGCTAGAGACAGAGTGAGACTCCCAGCACTGACTGTATGGGCCAGCAGAGAGGGAATCCCTGGCCAGAATGACCCGAGGTAACAATCTCCTCCATGCAGCCCCAGTAGCCATCTCTCCCAAGGTCAGACCACAGTGGAGAGCTGGAAAGTGGAAAAAGGGCAATGAAAGAGACAGGAATAATCAGCAGGGGCCCCCTTGAGATGCGCAGGATCTGGGGTGCTCCTAGGAGATGCCATCTGACCCAGCACAGTTTGCTCTGAGGATCCTTCTGCCCCTGCCATACTCATGCCTGTCCTGTCGAATCATACTGAGCTCCCTGCTGCTGAGTCACCCAGGGAGGAGGTCTGGAATCTTCTAGAGGCCTGGGATATACAAACTATTGCTATCTAGGAACACCTCCCCCTGCCCCTGGGACCTCAAATTCTAGGCCCTACTCCACAGGTCTCCCAGAGTTCCCACTGAGCTCTCTCTACCTGCCTCAACACTGCTTTCCAGGCTCGGCCATTCTCAGTTTTCACCATGATCTATGGAGGTCCCAATCCAATGGACAGAGGAGCCTGGCAGCATACAGTCCATGAGTCAGATACGACTTAGCAACTAAACCACCGCCAACCACCACAATGGAGGTCCCAACTCTCTGAATGAGCCAGACCATAGTTAACCAATGTAACATCCAACTCTCACCAACGAGGGATGAGGGCAGTCTGCAGAACTACTTTCAGTCTGTAACGAGGAGGGGTCTATGCAGGGAAGAGAGCCCAGCCCTCATTTGCCAGCTGGCACCAAATTCAACCCCCTCCTGGGCCAAAGAGCTGGCAAGAGACAATACTGAAGGGAAGCTTAGCTGATGAAGGGAGAAGAACTAGGGAGACTGTTTTCTCTAGATCAGAAGTGCCCTGCCCCATTTCCTTGGCTTTTTCTTTGTTCTAAAAGCTTTGGAATAGCTCCAGGAAGATATGTGCTAAGGCAAGGACCCAAGCCCTAAGAAGGGCAAAACACGAGATGCTCAGGACCGCTCTGCCACTGAGAATGGACGTCCTCCAGCCCCAAGCCCAGATCCCAAGATTAGCTGAAGGAAGTTCTTAGCTGGGCTAAGACACCCAGCCAGGAGCCAAAGCCTGGTTAAGCCAATGCCTTTCTGCTCCTCCAGAAGTTTAAGGTGCCTCTTGGCCCTTACTGTCTTGGTGTTCTGGAGACCTTCACCTGGGCCCTTCTCTCCACAGCCCCTGAGGCTTTGTCAGGGGCCAAATCAGCACAGGTTCTTGGAAAGCCAGGAGACCATATTGGTCCCTCTAGAGTGGTAAGGAGACAATGAATGTGAGAATTACACCCTGAGTCTGATGGGTGGTTCAGCCACGGTTCAGGGCCGGGAAGGTGCTCTGTGACATCAACTTGACAGACACTGAATGCTAGGAGAGATTGTTTAGAAACAATCGACCATATTGCCCATTACAGAGATGAGGAAACTGAGTCCCTGAGACACCGGACTCACATAAGGTTGCACAACAGAGCCTATAAGGACCATACCCATTAAAAAAAAAGTACATTGGCTCTCTCCACTACACTGCTTTCTCAAAGTGACCCAAAGAGCTGCTGCCACTCATAAGTTACAGGAATCCAATTTTTCATTAGGCATGCAAGCAAGAAATGACTGCCAGCACCATCAGCACCACCCAACACTCTCTCCCATCAAGAGTGGAGGCTTCAGGATCAAGCTCCCCATCACCTGTCACTTGTGCCCCATCCATTTCCCCATTTTGGCCCGCTGAGTCATCTGTCAGCAATGGCAGCTTGGGTTTCTGCAGCCTCCACCCCAGCTAAGACATACAAAAACCCCACCCCTTCTGAAGTGGATCCCTGAAGGTCACTAAAGGAGCCAGTGAAGTCCAAGTCAAGTGTCCCATTTCAATTCAGAGTTTGGAGGAACTCACATTTCCATTTTCTTCCTTGGCAAATAGGAGCTGGAGATCTGGTGCATTACTACCAGGGCTGGATAGAGGGGCAGCAGCAGGCACAGGTACCAGGCTGCACCTTTGATCTGAGCCTGGAACCACACAGAGTGCATGCCCAGAAGCACAGTTACTGTAGCCATCAGGTAGACCACCAGTCCACATGTCAGATGGTAGAGCTTGAGACGAGCCACCCTTGAGACCCTGGCTGCCCGGGGACACAGGAGGCAAAGTCCACACAGTGCCTGGCTGATAGTGGCCAGCAACGTCAGAGCCCCTACCCAGCTGTGCCAGGACGCCAGGTGGGGCAGCTCACTGCGGGTCCTGCTGGAGATGATGAAGCCCAGGCCCAGGGCTGCACCGAGGATGGCTAGGGTCTGCCCTGCCCAGTGGAGTCGGATCCGGGCCTTTCGGGAGCAGAAGAAGAACAGGGAGTGCTCGGGCGAGAAGAGCAGGATGGCCTCAGCCATGCAGAGGCAGAACTGTGAACACAGGAGAGGGCCAGTGAGCCTCAGGCCCGGCTCAGAGGCCTGAAAAAAGGGAGGTGCCCTCATACATCCAAACAAGGAAGACAAAGGGTGGGGGCTAAAGAACTCCCACCAGGACCACCTGCCTCACAGGTAGGCATTTGTGGGCAGAATTGGGAATCCATGCTTGAGTGGAAGTGTCATCATTCAGGCTGACATCCATGCCCCACACCCCCACCCCGCCCCACATCCTCAATAGCAAGGACTCTCATTTCTTGACCAATGGGAACAGCAAAAGTTAAGCTTTCTTCTGAACTCTGGGGGTGGGGAGCAACTGGATAAGGCCCCTTCCACTTCCTCTTTTCAGGTCCAGAGTGGAGAAAATAATGGTATCTTCCATGCCCTCCCACCCCGTTATACCACCTGATTACCTATAGCCCAGCCCTCCATGTTTCCTGACCTCAGTGGTTGCAAGGAAAGACGGGGCCCTGGGTATTTCCCCCCACCTCTCTGAGCCAAAGAAAGGTTAAGCCTCCTAAAGGCTAGATGCTTCCTTAGGGGCATAGCCAAACCAATCACTCAAACTCACCGCCAGGGCCATGAATACAGGGTGCCAGGAGAAAAGACCTAAGAATCAAAGAGAACAGACTGACGGCGGGGTACCGTTGGTTCTGCCCCTGTGGCTGGCTGGAGCCCGAAGAATCTGGCCGGAGGGGAAAGGTCAGTGCAGTGTCTTCAACCCTAATCAGTCATCAGGCCCTCCAGGCAAAGTGGTGCAGCCAAAGGGCTTTAGGCTGAGCAACCAAGAAGGCAAACATACCAGTTTGGCCTGGATTCCCCATTCAGCACTTCGCAGCTACCAGCCCAGTCCTAAAATAGACCTTGGCCTCCCTCCTTTACTGGTAGCATCCGTGAGGGGCTCTGCTGGTGTCGAACTAGCAAGTTCAGTTAGTTCACTTCAGGCTTCTCCTCTCCTCCCAGCACCCAAAGCCCCACCCTTCCAGGACCCACCCCCAGGGCCACGCCCCACCACGCCCTTACTACCCCTCCACAGTCGCCCATTCACTGAGAGTCCCCACTCCAAGCCTCTTAGCGCTCCAAGCGCAGCCCCGCCAACATCTAGGCTCCGCCCCCTTTCCTGGCCCCGCCCCTCCCTGCACACTCACTGGTTCCTGGCCGGGACAGCACAGTCAGGAAGATGGTGAAGCCCACAGCGACCAGATGCGCCAAGATCCCACTGCCTCTCCGCAGCCAGCGGGTCAGTCTCGGCTCCCTCGGCGGAGCGAGAACCAGACCTACCTCCAGAGACTGCATGGCGGCGCCCGGCAGCCGCACACTCCCAGCTGCCAGGGCAAGTCTTCCGGGTTTGCGATCGCGGAGGCGGCCGCGGATGCGGCAGAGGCTCCTCCCCGGGAGCCGCCGGCAATGCGGCGGCTCGCCCACAGCGCCCTCTGCAGACTGGGGGAAAGCGCCTCGGTCCTGGAGAGCCCCGAGGGCAGGAAGCGAGTGGACAGCTCCGGGCCCACCTTGTTTCTTCAGCCAACCTCACTCATATCTTTATGTCTACACGGGCTTATGGGGCTTATGTCTCAAATAGCCTGTGAAAATTACTTTCATGACAACTGATTTCACCCAAGTCACAAATCTGGTATACAGAATCAAGAGTGTGAAACCAGTTTTGAGTTTTCCAAAAATACTGGATTTCCCTGGTTGCCCACTCTCTCCTGCCACCCCTCCTTCCGTCTTGTTAAGGGAGTAAGAGTCGCCTCTGCCTAAAAGCAAGGAGACTGAAAAGGAGCGGATAAAGCTAAAAACCAGTGCCCCGTGCCTGGTGAATTTGAGTTTGAGGTCCAAAGGAGGGACAGGCAACAGTCGTGTCCCCTATTTGCACAGTAGCTGTTGTCCCCAGTGAGACAAATGGAAAATCTAGGGCACTCCTAGCCCTTGTCGCCTCCACACCATCTGCTCAGCCCCAGGGAACCAGGTGATCCTGAGGGACTAGGACCTCCCACACGCTGGCTGCCTCCCACACCAAGGGAAGTTCTGTAAGTGAGCTTACCTTTTCCCTTTCTGCCTCCAGAAAAGGTGTGCTTCAGCTTAAGGAGGTCTACCTGGGAGAGGCTGCACCCCTTCCTTAAGGGCAGACCCACAGGCCATGGGGCGAGAGACCAAAACAGGCAGTCCCACAGGAATCAGGGACATCCTGAGAGCAATTACCAACTCCACTTCAGCTCCAGTGGTTGAGAAAATGAGGCTACTAGTAAGAGGCAGGAGGAGCTGAAGAAACTGAGGCAGTAATTCAGAGACAGGATGGAGGCGCCGGGGTGCTGGAAGACCAGAATAGGGCCACAGGCTGATTCTCCTATACCTTCAAGGAGAAGATCCAAGAGTAGACCCGAATGTGGCTCCCCTCCCCCATCAAGTTTCTTTCCCCAACAGGACTGTAGTCCCCTTGCTCACTAGGAGCCACATGCCTCCTCATCCTAAGACTCCCCCAATGACACAACCCCTAGCCATTTCCAGAGACTAAAAGTACAAAAACATATGAGCATAAGAGATTCTTTTCCAGGCAAGTGATAGGAGCTGGAGGCTGACTGCCTATCAGGTCAGCCTCCTGGGGTGTAGCTGGGGGCAGTAAGGACACTCATTTTATTACACTTCTTTCCTTCCTATGTTTCTGTTTTTATATTTTCTTAGCAGCAACAGAACAGGAAGACAGTCTTGAGGTATTTTAAAGAGTTTTTTTTTTTTTCTTAAAAAAAATAATATAAAGTTATAAAAAGCGGCAGCAGCCTGGGGCCCGGATCTGGAGGGGAGGAGGTGCTGGCGGCTCCATTGCAGTGGGCAGGCACTTTCTCGTTAATGGGCTTTTGACTGCAGGAAGACAAGAGGCAAGAGACAGGGTCAGGCTAGGGGGTCTACCTGTCCTCCTATCCAGTGAACTATGTGGGCCATAAAAGCTAAGGTTCGATTTCCTCCTGCTGGTCTGTTGAGTAAAGCTAGGCACGGGGGAGGATAAATGCCTGCCCAGCAGAGGCAGTCTGGAGATCACCCATGCAAGCAGGGGACACAAACACACTCAAGTCCTGGGCAACTGTCAACTTATTACTACTCTCATATGGGTGCGAAATGTGTTGGGATGCATCTGGTCAGTGCCTAAACCAGGACGGCATCCCCCTTTCCCACCCAATTCATCCCTCCTGGCTAAGATCATATGTATAGCTCAGAGCATGCTACTCCAGGGCTCCCATCAGAAGAGGCAAATAAATCTGGCTGCTGGCTTTTCTGGAAACCCTGGAGAGTTTGCCTGACACCTGAAAACCTGGCAGTGGATACATGTGCAAGGTGGGCAGACATGCATATGGGGACCTTGGGTGCTGTCCCTGCCCTTTCAGGCCCTAATGCCCGGAAGCAAAACCAATGAACAAGACCAGCCCACCCACCCTGTGCCCCAGTGTGTTAGGCCACAGCTCTGGGACCCCAGCTAAACCCCACTGCCCAAACCTTTCTTATCAGAGCTCATGGAGTCCAACTTCCTTTCCTTCAGGGAACAGAGGTAGCTCCAGTTCCTGGAGTGAGGGCCACAGCCAATTCAGAAAGTGGCCCTTTAATTAAAGCAAAAGTGGGGGAAGGGGGAGAGGCAGAGGCAACATCTTCTTAGCCCAAGAGAGAGGGCTGGGGACAGGGGAAGGCCCACCAAGCAAGAGCTGGGGTCACCTCTCCCTAGAGAAGATGGCCCAGGAACTCTCAACTTCCCCAGTCTTCCCCTCCCTGCACAAATTTTTTTACTTAGGCACCTCTTTCTGTCAGGTTCCTGCTGGGCACGCCAACCTCATCCATCCTGACCCTTCCCCGCCCCCGCTCTTCAGGGAGCTGGGCTGGTACCTTCAGTGCAGAACACTTCTCCTCAAAGGCCAGGGCCGGACCCGGCTTCTTGCGGCGCACAGGACAGGCCGCATCGGCAGGGGCGCCAGCCTGGCAGTGCTTGGCCTTCACTGGCCGGCAGTAAGTGGCCAGGTTTTTCCGCTTCTTGGCTACCTCCTCCTCAGAGAAGCAGGTGGTCGGCAGGGCCTTGGCCACATGTCCAGCCACCCCCTGACTGTCCAGCTGAGAGGCCTTGACTGGCGTGGGGGGCTGATGAGGGGAACCCCGACAGTCCAGGGGCCCTGCCCTCTTCACTCTTGGCCCCACCGTCCCATTAAGCCCCAGGCCCAGAGCGGGTTTAGTCTTGGCTGAGAGGCCCCGGCATCCAGAGGGCTTGCCTTTTCCAGTGGGCTCCAGGATGCAAGTCCGTTTGAAAGTGGTGGGGCCCGGCGATAACTTTCGTTTTCGAGAAGGAGCCTCCACCTCCAGCCTGTCCTTGCCTTTGGACGACTTGCTGGCCTTGGAAGGTGGGAGCTTGCTGAAGGACGGGGACGGCGTGTTGGCAGGCAGTGGTGAGGTGATGGCCTGGCTCCCGCCCATGCACTCCGCCTGACTACAGGCGGCTGCCACGTTGGGGGAGCCTGCAGGGTAGCTGGGGACAAGGCTGTCCTTGGTGGGGGGTGTGGAGGCGGGGCAGGAAGGTCTGGGGGGTGGGCCTGGAAGGCGAGGGCTGTTGCCCATAGGGGATGGGCTCAGGGGAGCAGATGGGAGGGAGCTGACAAGGTGGGATGGAGGCTCAGCCGCCGGTGGGATCTTCCTGCGGCAAAAAGAGAGCCCCACTGTGATGCCAAGCAAGCCAGAGGGCATCCCCACCAATATACAACAGCATTTCCGCCCCAAGAACTGGCCCAGAAGCCCTGGCAGTGCTGCCATCTGCTGGGAGACACTGGAACTGAGGAACACGAAGAAAGCCCAGGGACAGAGATGTAACTAATATATAGATGCTTTAAGAATCCCGCTTTAAATCCCAGGTTAGCCATCCTCTACCCCTACTTACCTAAAAGGTACTGGAAGTGACAGGTTAAGAGTTAAGATTCACTCCCAGACGACCCATTCATGCCCGACCTTAGCCTAGCTCCAGGCCGCCAAGTTTCCCCACTTCTTCATCCTACTTGGGGGCTTCCTGGCCAATAGCCAAGCCACGTTTCTAGGTGTGTGTAAAGAATTAGGGCTTCTGAAGCCCACAAGTGCCTGGGACCCAGGGAAGGAAGCTCTGGGGCCAAGAGACTCACTTCCACATGTGGGAGCTGAGGTGCCGTTCCAGCATGGAGCTCAGGGCCGAGCAGAACCGGTCCAGCCGGCGGCTAAACACATAGCATCCTGGACTCACCAGCCGGCTCCCAAAGGTGCAGAACTGGAGGCAGAAGGAAGGTACATGGTTACCGGTGCCTGAAATACAGGGAGGGTACCTGCACACAGAATCAGACCTCCTTCCCACACTCTGGACCAGGAAGACTGCCCCCTCACCCCACCTCCACCCCCCGGGTCCTTACCGCCTGTGGCCGAGGGGGCCGGGTTGCATAATGGCAGTCAGTGGGGAGGTGGAGGTCATCAGATGTCCCCTCCTCCTCACTCTCCTCGCTGGAGGCCTGGGCCCCACCCCGGGGCAGGGGGAAGGGGAACAGGCCTGGATCCCCATCACCACCACAAGGGCCTTCATCATCCAACTCACTCTCAGAGGAGGCCCGGGACCTGGAAGGGCCAAAGGGGATGTGAGGGCAACATGACAGAAATGGGTCGGGGAGAGGGGGTTGTCCCTGAACCCGTCAAGCTTAAAAAGCCAGGGCAGACACCCTGTGGGCCATCAGACAAAGAGGAAGGGGGCCAGGGAGGGAGGGGACAACGGAGCTCACAGAGTCAAGAGTCAGAAAGACCAAGGGCCACAGCTCCCAAGGGATTCTCTCCCCAGCCCCTTCACTTCCCAGGCCCTGCCTCCTCAGGGGGAAAATCTGCTCCAGATTCGCCTCCTCCAGAAAATCTTCTGAGTGTAACTGCACTCAGCTCGGGTCAGCCCAGTCAATTTTCTCAACCCCCTTCTTGCATCACATATTCCTGTGAGCCTGTCTGTGAGCTGAGCCTGTGTTTCGTGTCTGCCCCTCGTGTTACAGGCAGGGATGGGTGTGTGTCTCCTTCGGCAAGGCAGGCTCTCCCCCGGGTCCAGCGCAGCCTCTGCACACGAAGGGGCCAGTGAATAAATACACAGAAGGTCTGCCTCACCCAGGACCCTGACCCTTCTGGCTCCCCGGTGATGACTTTTTGCCTGGTGGAAGCAGCTGGGAGAATGTTTTTATCCTGGGTATTGGATCGCTACAGAGAGGCAGGGGTACTGCGGTATGCCAGGTTAGCAGCGGGGGAATCACTTGCTTCCACACCACTGCCAGGGCTCCTCCCCCCACAGCAGGGTGGAGTGAGCAGCATCTTCCAGGACACCCCCGGGCCTGTCTCCAGGGGTCCCTGACAGTTTGGGGCCAAGCGTCCCCAGGTCAGATGGGTGCTGGCTCCTGGACCTACCTGGGCAGTGCACAGTAGGGGTAGGTTGGCTTGGCACGAGCAGAGAAGGCGCCGCTGGGAGCAGCCACTGCTGCCACAAGTTGAACTGAGGCGGGGGGCTCCTGGGAGGGGCGCTCGAGAGCTGCCTCCTTCCGCCCTGGGCTCTTCTCCTTGGGAGACTCCCCCTTGCGGGAGTTGGCCTTCAGCTCTGCCACCAGCACGTCAAAATCCTTGGCTCGGCCCTGGACCTCCCGGCGCTGGTGCACCGAGTGGATCTAGAACACAGCAGGGTGGAGGGTGGGGAGGGGGTGTGAGCTGAGCAGGGGAAGGGGCAGCAGTGTGCTCTGCCCTAGGCAAGCGGAGAGACTGGGGGGGATCTGGGAGCCACCCCCCTGCCTGCTGTCCCTACCTTGGGCCCACTGGGGCAGCCCCTTCTCCCCATCCCTGGTCTGGACTTAACCCCCATCCCTTGAGTTGGACTTTGGATAAGATCGCACTTCCTCTCCCTTCCCAGGGCCCGTGTTCTCCCTCAGCAGGCAGAGGGAGTAGAGGTTACCTTGCAGGTGAGAAGGCGGGTACAGATCTTTTTGGTCTCTGGATTTATTACCCCACACTGCCTATTGAGGTCGCACTCCTTCCCTGTGGGGAAAGCAGGTCCCATGAACCCCACAGCCACTTAGAGGAGGCCCAGGGGAAGGTCTGGCATCTTCATGTCAAAGGCCTGGGAAGAGCTGGGCCTGAGGCAGGAGAGCCTCTGGATCTCAGGTCTGCAGCTGTAGCCTTCCAGACAAACTCCTCTGGGCATCAGCAGCTCTCTGCTAGACCTGAGAACCATCCCCTCACCATTATCAGCCCAAGAATCCTTTGGGAGGCTCCAAGCCCCAAATAGAGCAACACACACCAAGAAACAGGAGCAGCCACAGGCATCTGGAATGCCAGGGAAACCAGCTATGGGAGGTTTCTGGTGCCCTGGATCTAGGGAGAAAAAAGATAAAGGTCCATAGCCCTTTATGAAAAGGGTCCATAGCAGGGCCCTGCCCATTCACTACATGGTGAGGAACAGTACCTTCACCTACTTGGGCACAGGCTCCCATAGCCTTAATCAGGACAGCTGAGCTGAAGGGACTCTTCCAAGAGAGCAAGCAGGTCAAGTGAGTGCCCACGTCAAGGGATGACCAGGGGTCCCTGTACCCCGGCAATTTGTGATGGCCAAGCCCCCTCTTCGCTGACCCCCTTCTCCATCAGACCCAAGCACAAAGCTGTCCAAAGGAGTCCCCACTCTATCTTCCTGACCCCCAAGACCATGACTACTCACGAGCCATCTTCCGGTGGGTTTTGGGGGTCAGCTTGGCCCCACCAGGCTCCTTTTCAGAAGGGCTGCCTTCAGTCCGGTGACTGGGGCCCTCGCTGGGGGCTATCTCGATGCTCTCTCTGCCAGGAAGTTCTTTAGAAGGGGATGCCATGGGATTTTTTCCAGGGGAGTCCTTGGTGAGGCCACCTGGCTGGCTGAGGAAAGCAGAGGGTGGGGCCACCCTGATTCCATGTCCATCAGGCTTCGGAAGACTGGACATCTTCTCCAGATTCACCACAGGCACGAAAAGGCTATACGTGGAGAAAGGGTGTAGGCTGGGAGGTAGGGAGGCTGGGTCTGGGCCCCGGATTCAAGCCCAGGACCATCTCCTTTCCAGGAATTTGGGTGGGCTCCTGAAGGGGTGCAGAACTCGGGACAAGGGAATCCTATATTCCCTGGAGCAAGTGGAAGGGAGCTGCAGAGAGAGCTGGCTCCCTCCCACCATGAGCAGTACCCATCGCCCCATGGCTGCTTCCATTTGTGTCAACCCCTCCTTGGGCTGTGTGGTCAGGGCTTGTCTCAGGGAGTCTCCAGCCTTTCCTTACCAGAGGTTGTCCTTCTGGGTCTTCTCAGGAGGCTGGTGGCCACGGCTGCGAGACCCCTGGCCCTTCTCCCTGGAGGAGGTTTTGGTAGAACCTGGGGCCCTACAAGCAGGGCCCTGCCCATTCACTACATGGCATTTCTGAGAGCTGGCAGGGGCTGGAGGTGGAGGTGGGGCCCGGGCGTAGAGCTTGCTGAGGGGCCCATGTCTTCTTTCTGTTGCCAGGAGGTAGAGAGAGCAATCGAGGTGAGTGCTATTAACTGCCTCCTGCCCCATCCTCCTAACCCTGATCACAGATTTATGATAGAGAATCTGCAGTTTCCAAATGTTAGGTTTTAGATTGGCCTCCTTCCCCTTTGAATCTGCACCTTCAAGACTGAAAATTCTAGGACTCTGTTTCTTGAAACTCTTAGCTCTTCCCAGATGCTAGAACTTTACTTTGCTAGAAGTTTGCTTAAATAATAATCCCAACCAACCACAATGTCTGAAGCTCCACCCCACCCCACCTTCCTATTCACAAAGCCTCCCTCCATTACCCAGGTGACCTCCCAACTGGCCCTGTCCTCGGAGTTCCAAGTTCCACCTTCCCCTGTTCCCTCTATCTCCTCCCTAGGGCTCCCCTCACCGCAGTGCTTCTGGAAAGCTTGAGGCTTCACCACTTGGCTGCAATGGTTACATACAACCAAATAGAAGTCGTCATGGGCAGGGCAGTGCCCGAAGATGGACATGTCTGCAACGACAGAAGCCCTTATCACTGGGGCTGGGGATGCCAGGGTTTCCCTGTAAGATCAGAGAACAGACCCACCCACCACTCAGATGACACTTCCCCTCCCAGCTGATATAAGAGGCTTTATGATGGATGCTTCCAGAGTTCAATCTAACCAATCCCTAAGAATGCAGGCTTTCAGGTGAGAAAGCAGCAAACACCAATGATTAGGATCTCCCTCAGTCAGTCACAGGAGCCAGAGGAAGAGGCTGACTCAGACCTATCAAACTGAGAATGCCCAGACTGGCTGCTTCGCTGGCTGCAGCCACCTCCTGGGTTGTGGCTGGAAGAAGGAAAGGTGGTCCTGTCTGCCCTGGGCCCCAGCCCTCATGTGTGCCGACTCCCACCTTCTTTAATGAGGGTCATGGCATCCAACTTCTTCGGGTTTTTGTTACTCTCCTCCAACTCAGCCCCTAAAGGAGAAACACAGCTCAGAAGGACCACTCCCATCCCAGACGCCCATCTCCAACCCGACTGTGGCCAAGCAGGTGCTGTGGCCAAGCAGGAGGAAGCCCCTGCCTCTTGACAAGCACCCGGTGCTCAGGACCACCCAGAGAACCACTCAGTGGATCTTTCTCAAGTGGTCATTCTTCCTTCACCTGCTACCTCTGGAATAAGGTGGCTCCATCAGGAGGATCCTTTCGTGTGGCTCCTTCACTCCAAGGTGCAGTTCAGGATCCCATCGCTGACCAGTTGGATGACTGTGGGTAATTATCTCTTTTCTGGGCCTGCTTCCCCATGTAAATGGGGAACAGTCCTTCACTTATTTTACTACAGATCCCCGAGGCCCTTCTTGAAATTTCTCAGATGCGTTCTTTCCGCTTTTCTTGGCATCCCAAACAGATACTCTCCCGGGTCCCCAACCTCAATTTTGTTTCACTTGGGTTGCCATGGCATTGTGAAAGTTACACCCAGTTGCTCAGGTCCTGCACTGACAGGATAGCCATAGAGCAGAGAAACTGCTATCTTGGGGCCCTTCAGCATCTTCAAAGTCCCCTCGGTCAGCTACGCAAACCCTTTTCCTCTTAAGGGGGTTTGGGCAAGGGTTGCCCTTGTACCTCAGTTTCTGGGTTGATGACAAAACATCTTAGCTATGCAAAGCAGCTCTTTCCCCATCCCCCTACCTTACTGCTCTCCCCTCCCTCCTCTACACCCCCTCCCTGTCCCTTGGAAAAAAAAAATCAATTCTGAGTCACCAAACCCGGCTGATTCCATTTCCGGTTCTCAGTGCACCCAGACCCTGACAATGGCCCCATCCTTGCCCACCCAGCATGGGGCAGTTCTAGGGTGGCCTGAGGCTCCCACTTAGGTCTGCTTCTGACACCTACTAACAGACTTGCCCCTTTCTAGAATGAGAATACTGACAGTCTTATATAATCTCCAGATGTGAGGGGTGGTGGGTTAGGTATGCAAGAGACAAGGGGCAGGCTCCACTCTGAAGTCCGTTAAAATGCGGTGATGAACAGAACTGAGCTGGGAGTTGGACGTCTCAGAGGAGAACAAGTGTCATCAGAGACGGCTCCATGTGGTCTCCTCCTCCACCTCTTCTCACTTGCAAACTTCTTCTGGGGCGTGATGCCTGCTGTCACCCCAAAGGCCACGAGGCCAGATGCCCCCTGGGGCCCAGGAGACAAAGATCAGGAAAGGGGCTGTCAGCCCGCTCCACCAAAAGCACTCAGGGGCCTAGAGAAGGTGGGTGTCAGGGGAGAGAGCCCGGGAGGTAGGGCAAGAGGCCCGGGAAAGGACGGGGGGTTGGAGGCATGGATGGATGGGCAGAAGGAGGGAGGAAGGGAGGATGGATAGAAGGATGGACCGATGAACTAATGCGGAGGAGGCGGGGGTCCAGTGGCACTGCAGTCGACAGGCAAACGCCGAAAAGGAGCAGAAGGTGTGGGGCAGAAGGCGACGGAACAAGGGGGGTTGGGAGGGGGCACAGAAGTGGGGTGCGTGGGAAACACGTGGAGAGGACTGTTGCGGATGGGGAAAGCCCGAGGCAGGTGCAGGAGGGGCGGAAGCTGGAGGACAGAAGGCAAGAAGAAACATAAAGGAAAGCAGATGTAGGGGCAGGTATTGGGCGACGGCAGAGGCAGAGGTGGGCAGGGTGGGCTGCTGGCGGAGAGCCGGCGCTAGGACCCGGAGGCGCGAAGGTGGCGGAGAAGGCGGGCACTAGGACCCGGCGGGTCCTTTGTTTGGGGGGCCGGGGAGCCGGACGGCGGCTCCCGTCGGCAGCTCCCCTCTGCTGGCGGGGGCCCGGAGTGGGGGAGGGGAGACAGGGATGGGGTCTTCAGACTCTAGAGGAGCTTCACTCACCGTCGGCCGCGGGCAGGTCGGCCCGCTCCACCCACGAGCTCCAGCTCTGTCCCGCGAAGTCATCGAGACTCGGCACCCGCCGCTCCAGAGCGGCCATTGCTGCCGCCGCGCGTTCACGCACCGCCATCACCGCCGCGGACGCGCGCCCGCCCCGGCGCCGCCGCCGCGCGGCCCCCTCCCCGCCGCGGGCACGCCTCCCCTCTCCCTCCCACCTTTCCAGCTCACCCTTTTGCGCAAGCGCAGCACTGTCCGTCTGGCTCAGTCTCTCGCCCACATAGCCTTCTGGGAAATGTAGTCAGCTAGGTGGTGCTGTTGCCTACTGAGCTTGCCACAAGAGCCCCTCCAAAATGCATGATTGCGGGGGGAGAAAGAGACCAAAGCCTCAGGACCTCCTCTCCTAACCCTTGTGAACACATTCTTTCTGCTACCAGTCCCTCTCTTAAACTCACTGCATACAGACCCCAGTCCCAAACCTCTCTGCCCAAGATGCCCCTTTAAGCGCTGCCCCCGCCAGCTGACTGGCGCCCCTTCCCGGGAAGCGGCCACGAGCGACTTCGCTTTCCTGTAGATCGAATAGGGTAGGTGCAGGGAGGTGGGCGCTGTGAATCAGAAGGGCAAAGGGAGGGGGTCTGTAGGATGTGCTGAAGGACACAGGGGTTGGAGTGGGGGAGGATCCTCAACTCTGGTGTTGTGCCTGTATGGGAAACCCACGCTGCCCTAATGCAGAGCAGAGGGTTGGAGTAGCGTTTTCTGGATTTGGTAGGACCTAGTTGAGCTGACCAAGATCACCTGTCAGGATGACAGAAGGCTATCTGTGAGCCAGAGCCAGCCCCGGAACTGGGGTGGCCCCGGGGCTGCTGGTGTTTGCAGCATCTCTGCTGATCCGTCTCTCCCCTTCTGATAACTGCGATCGATACCCTGTATCGCCTCTTCCCAAACCCTGGTTGGACCCTGACTCCATCCATCACTTTGGCTTCTTTTTTCTAACGAATATTTTCTGTGTTGGCAGGGCTGCTACCAGAGCTTCGTCATAGGGTGATTTCTCATCAGATCTGTTATTTTCCTTGCTAAGGCCTGGAAAATATTGATACCTTAATCATCCACATTTTTCTCCTCAGCTGATAACATTCTTTCTTACCTTAATACACTCAAGAGACAAAAGCCTGTCTCCTACCCCATCACATCAGAAAAGAGATACTAATTCTCTTTTCCCTTACACCTCACCCAGTATTCATTCTTTCATCTCAGGAGAAACCAAACTGGAGGCAAATAAGTCAAGGTCTGTGACTTCAAGACCTCTGCATGTCTTCTCATTTTCACCCAAGGAATGTTAAAGTACTTCAAGGATGATCTCTGATGGTAGAGCTTCTTAACCTGAAAACCATAGATGATTCCTAGGAGGTTGGCGAACCTGGTGACATTGAGTGTAATATTGTGCCCAAGTGTATTTTTCAAGGGAATATAAATGAAGCCTGTGACTGTCTGTCAGAAGGGGCATAGAGGTGCAAGTTTGTAAGGTTAAGAGGGCAACGCATAAGGCCCTCAACTCCTGACAGGAAGCTAGATTAGGTCACAAATGGTAGGAGAGACCATGGAAACAGCATTGTGGAAGCCACTATCTCCTGCCTTTTGAGTTTACTCTAAATTTATTAATGAATCTCAGTTACTTTGGACTGAGGAGATGTCACCAGGCTGGGGTCTGCCACGAACAACTCAGCCTTCAGACTCTTATTGCTGGGAGTGCAGAGTGGAGAGGAGTAGAATGATGTTTTGGTTGAAAATGCTGATATTTGTCCAAGAACTTAAAGCAAGGGGAGGAGGAAAAAAAAATCCCCATAAGGGCTACATTCTTGGCTCCTTCATGGCAAATGCTTGAAGCATTGTTTATTCATGTGTATAATGACAAGCACCAGAAAACAACATGCAACATTCGCCCCCCGCCCCTGATCTGCAATCCCAGAAGAAGGACATCTACGACCATGATAGTGGAGGGAACTCGTGTTCAGAAAAGGTCTGAGGTGGGCATCCTGGCAGGGTCAGAATTTACTAGGGCAAAGGCAAGTGCCCTGCCTGCTGGCCTCCTCCCAGCAGCTGGAGAAACCAGACACCTTCTCCTACCTCAGGCCCCACTAGGCAAAGTGGTGATGCCAGCCCTGGTTGGAGGGAACATGAGTCCTCTGAGGACAGTCCAGCCCCCTGAAGGTGATGAGGTGAAGCAGCCTTTCCTTTTAGGATGGCCATGAAGAGAGAGGCCATAGCCTAAATCAAGGCTCTTCTGACTGAGAACAAGCCAGCCACTTGAAGACAATAAAAGAGTCTTCTTGGCCTAAGGGAGAGTTCTGGGCTAGCAGTCCTTGGCAGGAGTGTATACCTACCCACCCCCCTTCCTTAGCTGAAGGGCCAATTAGTAACTTAGGCCCCCACAAATGAGAACACTTTATCCATCACAGTTCAGAAAAATTATAAATACGTACACAGAATCAAACATAGTTCCAGTAGAAGCTGCTCACAGACCCTCACAGGGGCCAGCTTGAAGAAAAATGAAGGAACCCCTTTGTTCTCTGTGTCTCTGACGCTGTAGGCAAAGCTGTCCCACCTTGTCCTTGAGTAATCATGGGGACAGCTTGGGACAGAGAGAGGTTCAGACTTAGAAACACCCTCATCCCCATCTCCCAGCTTCCCTCCTCAAATCCATTCCCCAAAAGCTAAACAAAACAGAATACCTAATTTTTCACTGAAGGACTCTGGGGCGTTTGAAGATATAAACGCCCCTATCACACTCCCCTATCAAGCGGGGAAACTCTGACCCAAAAGATTGGCCCAAAGTCAAATGTCCTGCCACCTGGGTTCCCCAGTAATGCACATGTTACTGTGGAGGGTGCTGAGGAAGGTGAGGAGGTTGGAGGGGTTGACTCAGTCCTGAGGAGAAACACCCAGGACACATCCACCTTTGGGACGACAGATGGGCTAACTGGCCCTGGTTTGGAAAATGGCTGGGTTCTGCCTTTGTCAGTCTCCCCTGGGCGGCTCTATGGCCAGGGCAGACTGAAACATTTTGAGTGGTGTGGGAGGCAGATGGCCCTTACCCAGGCAGCAGTGACTCTTGGGCCCTGGGGTCCAGAGAGGGCTGAAGGAGGTATTGGGAAGAGGAGACACAACCAAGGACAAATATGGAACTGGGTCCCGAAGTGAAGAAGCACCAATAGCATCGGCCTGCCCTGGACGGAGGTGGGGGTGAGGGGTGGGGGGATAGAGCCTGGAAAAAATGAGGAGACAGAGGAGGAATGGAGGGCAAAGTGAGAGGGCATATTCTTTCATAAAGGTGAGAAAGGGAAATGTGAACCAGGGTCCAGAGAAGGAGCAGGGAGGAGAAAAAAAAGAAGAGAGTGCAGGGGAAGTGGGCCCATCCATCCATGTCCCGGGGCCCTGGGGCAGCTTAGACTCATGATGGTCCTTTTTCCTCTTTCCAAAGCTGCTAGCTGGCCCCACAGAAATCAAAGGAAGGCCTGAACAGACTCAGAAAAGTATCTTGACTGCTTCAGATCCAAGAGGCTGGGGAAGGGAGGTGGACAGAAAGGCAGGAGGTGGGGAGGGCTGAAACAGAGAGAGCCTCCTAGCCCCCTCAACTTGTGTCCCAAGTGTAAGACAAGCCCAAGAAGGAGGACAGGGAGAAAGGTAAAGAGTTTCTGGGGCAAGTAGGAGTTGAGAGTGTTGGTGGAAAGCGCCCCAGCAGGGAGGGGTGGGAAAACTAAGGGAATAGAAAAAACTGATTCCCTAGCAAGTTTCCTGGCTACTGTTTCTTGAAGTTGCAACTCAGTTGCAATTGGGACCCTCTGGAAGGCTGTTTTCTAGGCAAGTCAGCCTCCTGGGTTCAAACATGATGGACTCCGTGGGCAAACAGGGGCCAGAGGAGGAAGTGGAGAACATACTAAGTTCAGACTGATGTCAGGTCAGTGCAGACATGGGGCCTTGATGACAGCCACTGAAGAGAGGTCACTAAACCACTGGTGGGCCCTCCATGCAAGGGAGCAGGGAGAAGGCTGCCAGCCAATTTCCCCTCCCCCCACTTTTATTGAAGCTGGACAGATGGATAGAAGTGGCAGCAAGGAACCAGTCTCAGGTCTCCTGACCGCAACCCTTGCCTGCAGCAGAGGCTGGCTCTCAGAGGCTGTGAGGGTACGTATAAGACCCCAAGGAAGATGCCTGGGTCCAGGCAGTACACAAGAAGCACTGAGCTCCTGCCATCTGGGACTCCAGGAAGAGGAGGGATAGGAAGGCACTGGGAGGGCTGCCCAGGTTTCCGACAGCTGGTGCCTGCCCATCAGTGAAGACGTCTCAAAGCCCAGAATGATGGGGGGAGGGAAGCTGGAGGAGAAGGAAGAGGGAGGTCCTGGAAGCCGGAGGTGCTTGAAGAGGTGCTGTCCTGTTCGGGAGTAGCTGGGGGCTGCTTACTGCTTCTCCACGGCTCCCTGCTCAGCTGCGCTCTCCGGGCTGGCGCCCTGACCCTGGTCCTGGCCCTGCCCATGCCACGGAGTCTCCTTGAACACAAACCAACAGTTCCCGGCCCACAGGAAGAAGTTGATAAAGCCGAAGAGCTGCAAAGACATGGTGGGGGGAGGAGGGAGGTCATGAGAATAGGAAGGAAGGCACTGTGGGAATCAGGAGGGGGAATGCCTGTGTGAGGTTGGGGGGAGGGAGGCACAGAGGGTTAGAAGGACTAAAAGACAGAGGACTGGCTGTAGAAGCATGGTTTAGGGCCACCCACTAAAGGGCTCTCTGATGAAGGTATCTAACTCTGTCTGCAGCATG